AAGTATTAGCCACATGCTAGGTTGCACTTAGTGCCTTATTATACGGAGTGCATTTTCATTTTTAATAAGGGTGTTGGGCCTTCCTTTTAATTCATTTGTAGGTGCATTTAGTCCGTGACTTATTGAGTTTGTTTCATTAACTCAACCCCTTGACTTTGGTGCTTTACATGCCCATGGATTGTTGTATATGGTTTACTGGTCGTACATAAGTTGAGCTTTACCTTTCTACTACAATTTTTTCCAGAACCAAGGTCGTGTCCGGGCCTTACCCCTTACCAATGTGGTTCCGCCCCTGGGCAAAAGTAGTTTCCCCACTATTTTGGTTTTGTACATGTGATTTTGATGGATGAATTCTGGTATTTTGTCACTAGCTCTACAATGCATTGGAAGTAAGAAAAACCGATCATTGCTTAAATAAAAGATGAGCAAAATGAAAAATAGTTCATAAAGCACCAGAATCAGTCCATGTAACATTAAGGAGAAAAGTGGCAAATAAGAATATCAACTTAATATTTTTTTATTTAAAAATATTAATTTTGTCAGTTTTTAAATAAATATATTAATTTTTAATTTTTTCTATTTAAAAAATATCAATTTTTAACTTTTTTTATTTAAAAATATTAACTATCAATTTTTTCTATTTAAGAGTTAATTAGATGAAAGAAGTTAAAAGTTGATATTTTAATTTAGAAATTGACAAAATTAATATTTTTGAATAGAAAAAAAATACAAAATTAATATCTTTTTTTTTTTTTTTTTGCATCTTTTCTCCTAATATTCATATTAGACAAAGAAATTTACTTGGTAACACATTAACGGCAGGAAACTACTACATGCTTGTTGCTTTTTACTTTTTCTGAAGTACAACAATTGTGCAATAGAAGGACTTATTCGGTAGTAAATTAACTTTGAAAATGCTTATTTGAGAAGAACATTGTGGAGGGGGCTTCATTGGAACAAATGACTTAGTTGAAAGACCAATCTTGGGTTATTCCTATAAAATTGTAGTTTAAGTAATGATACCAACAACGTTGTTTAATATTTACATAAGCGCAGCCAAGATGAGGAAAATTCTTTTGCCTAGACTTCTTTGTTTTACTCCCTTAAAAAAAAAAAAA